ATGGGGATAAGAACGACCCCCTGAGGGTGTAGTGAGGCTTAACAATCATAACATGGAAGGTCACTGAGGCCCACAGTGTGCTAAATGCGGTCCCAAGCCCTACGTATCACCTTATTTCTTGTTCTCCAGACCCTGAAAGGAAGCTTCTATTGTAACCTTCATTTTTTCATTTTTTTTTTTTTTTTTTTTTGAGACAGAGTCTCACTCTGTTACCCGGGCTAGAGTGCTGTGGTGTCAGCCTAGCTCACAGCAACCTCAAACTCCTGGGCTCAAGCAATCGTTCTGCCTCAGCCTCCTGAGTAGCTGGGACTACAGGCATGTGCCACCATGCCCGGCTAATTTTTTCTATATTTTTTTAGTTGTCCATCTAATTTCTTTCTACTTTTTAGTAGAGACAGTGTCTCACCTGTGCTCAGGCTGCTCTCCAACTCCTGAGCTCAAACGATCCTCCTGCCTCAGCCTCCCAGAGTGCTAGGATTACAGGTGTGAGCCACCACGCCCGGCCTGTAACCTTCATTTTAAATATGAGGAAACTGAGGCTCAGAGAAAAGAAATAACTTGCCCAACACCACCCAGCTAGTAAGCAGCAGAGCCAGATTTTGAACCCAGGCAGGCTGGCTTCAGAGCCCAATCTCAACAGCTTGGGCCGGGCAGGATCCATGTGGAGCCACGACTGGGAGGAGCCAAATCCTGTAGTAAAACTGGGGCAGGCTCGGGCTGGGTGGAAGAGCCCGACTGTAAATTCCAGCAGGGTGCGGACTCTCTTGTCTCCCCTGATATCCCCAGGGCCTGGCACGTAGTAAGTGTTCAGTAAATATGTGTGAGAATCGTGACTTCAGCCAATATTTATTCAGTGCTATAGGACAAGATAGAGCAAACATCTAAATCAAGAGTCAGACCACGGCACATCTCTGCTCAAAACCCAGTGACTCTTCACGGCACTGAGAATGCAAATGTGCCCGACAGCAGGTCCTGCTGCCCTCAGCCACTCTCTGCCAGGCACACTCACCTCCCCAGCCCTGCCCCTGGGCCTGTGAACGCCACCCCTGCTATGCACCATACCCCTCTCCCATCAGTCCTTCCCCTGGCTCTGGCTCTTTCTGTCCCTTTGTTTGGGTCTCTTCAAACGCCACCTGCACCCACAGCCGAGCTATAGAAACCAGCTCCTGCCCAGCTCAGTCACCTCTGTCCCTGATTCCTCCATTTCTGGTTTTTTTTTTTGCAGCATTTAAGACACCGTGTAATCTACGGTGCTTGCTGATTGCCTGTCTTCCCCCAAGGGAAGGCCAGCTCTACGAGGGCAGGGACATTAGTTTGTGGGGTTCCCTGCTGCATCCTCAGCCTAGAAGAGTGCCTGACACACGGCAGGTCCTCAACTGAATCTCCGTGGAATGAAGGAAAGAAGGAAAGGAGGGAAAGGGGATGGGAGGGAGAGAGGGAAGGAGGGAGAGAGGGAGCAGAGGGAAATCAGAGGGTCCGGACACCTCAAGTCTTGTTTTCATGATTTTGAAGGTGAGAGAGACTTGCTCCTGCCTGCAGAGGAGACGAGGCAGGTGAGAGGGAGTATAACAAGGTAAAAGATGGAGATTAAACACGAAGGAAACATGAGGACAGAGCTCAGGTGAGGGGACCACTCCTGGGGGCTCCCTTGCGTGCCAGGACACAGGCCTAGGGTGCTACGACTCTTGGGTAAACAAAGGAACATGAATTCTGCCTGCAGTGGTTATGAAGAGTTTGCTTATTTCAAAACGGCCACTTTTTGCCTACTTGGCCCCTGTGGGAAATCATGAAACCCAAAGCAAGGCCTCAGAATCTTCTCCTCTCAGCCTTGCATGAGAAGCCTGGCTGTGGGCCCCACTCTCAGAGGTCCCTGCCATCTCCCTGGAAGGTGACGTGGCCAGCAGCAAGGGCGGGACAGGTGAGGCCTGCCTTCCCTTTCTACCTGTGTCCCGAGAGGCTCCCACCTCACGATTATAAATCAGCTCTTCCCCAGAGCATCGGTGGCATGTCCCACTGCGACGGCACCTCCCCTGGCAGACGTGCCAGCAGAAATGCATGGACCTGTCCCATTGGAAGTCCCCAGTGAGACGCTTGGCTGAGTAGGCGGCACTCAGGACTGGTGGTCCTGAGGGCAGCCTTGACTTTCCTCTCTAGGGGCCGAGAATAACCTCAGCCTGTGTCTGTCCATTGTCCGTCCATCCGTCTGGTTTCTCTCTCTCACTCTATCCATACATCAATGGCTTAGATGAGAAGATTCTTCTAAACAGCTCAGCCAGTTGATATGCCTATCCCAAAGATGCTCTTTGAAGTTGTGCATTTTTCTGGACCTTGTGATTCATTGCCTTTGCTACAAATTCTTGGAAGTGAGTTCTTATCTAGGGCCAAATAAGTATTCCTTCTGCTTCGGCTCATATGACTGGAGGTCTCTGCCCTTCCCCTACCAGGGCTTCTTCCTCATTTGCCTACTGCACCCCGACTCAGACTCCTCACCCCCATGGGACCAGGAAGGTGTGCCTGGAGGTTTCCTGACTCCTACCACAGGGAGTTAACTGCCCACATTCACCCACGTTTGGCTTTGCTTTCAACATCATGGGCTGAGCACCTACTACGTGCTAAGTGCTTCTAACCATTACTATATTTAATCCCATTGAAGTAGTTACCTTATTTAATGCCTTATGGATTTGTATTCCTATCTCGTGCATAGGTAAACTGAGGCTTGGAGAGGATAAATAACTTGACCCAAGTCACAGAAACTGGTTCCTGTTCTACCTGATCCACGAGGGGCTAAGGGCTAATTCTTGGATCCACCAACAAACTGGAGTGGAAAGGGGAGCTAAGTCTCGAGGAGGCTGGGCCCTGTTCTCTGAGCACGTGGGCTTTGCAGAAACAAGACACTTTCCTGGAGGATCTCAATGCACACCAGTCATCCCAAACTTTCCCAAAGGCTGGGGGTGGGGCAATCACAAACTGTCACAGTCTGGCAACCAGACAAGAGAAGGATTAAGAAACAAGCAGAGAAGCAGTGTCTGCTGATAACTTAAGGGTGTTCTGAAGCCAGGAGGAAACTCCCCTGAGCATTACGCTTTAGGCACCTGTCAGAAAAGCATTAAATAAGCCTGGACATTGGCATTGTCGTTATTTATTCTAATAGCTCAGTGGTAACCTCGTTATCTATTTGCCCAAGTTGCCTCTATTTCTCTCTGGGATCACTCTGCCACCCCCAGGGCTCCTGTTTGTTCTTCTTATCCCCCTTTACATCCTCTTTTGTCATTGGAGTCGCAGGGCTTGGGTTTGGCGCTTGGGCTCCAGCACCCACCCGGCCTGGGTGGTCACCTAGCCACCAGCTCCTGACCTGCAAAGTGGCCGAGTCCCCGTCCCTCAGGCCCAGTGGGCTGTGTGAGGCTCAGATGAGGTGAGGTCAGCACACTCCACAGATTAAGGCTGCTCTGATGTTTCAGCTTTCCTGAATGTTCCTAGATTCACCCTGACCCTCTGGTTTTATGAGAAGTGAAAACACCAGATAGGCTCTCAGGGTCCCTGGCACCTGCAGGTCACTGAGTAACCACTGCCACTCCCCCTCAGGTCTGCTCAGCAAACTCAAGGACACGCAAACACCCAAGCTTCCTGCACAAGCACCCTGGCAGGGCCCAATCCGCCCGAGGGGGACTATGCATGTCTGTGTTTCATTGCAGTGACTGTATTTGCTTTGCAGAATGGTTTATACCCAAAGCTATGAAAGATGTAATAACAAGAAAAATGTATGCCTGTAAAGCACTTCAAAAGCTAATTTTACTTTCTCTGTTTTCTGATGCATCCCAGGGGGCCCGTCTCCCCTCCACTTCCTCCATGGGTCTCTCAGCACGCACGCCCCAGGCAGGACACACCCCCACTGTCTCTCTCTGATGGCAGCTGCTCCCATCCAAGGAGTGGGCCCAGCCAGAACTGGTTACCCTGGTTTCCCCAAAGCCACCGCCAGGGAAAAAAGAGGATGTCCAGCCAGCAGAGAACCACAGAGGACGAGGTGTGGTGGCGTCCTTACCCTCTCTAAGGCTCCAGAAGCCCCAGTGTGGGAAGGACAGGGAGCCTAGAGGCCTCAGGGATCCCCTTGTACAGATGAGGAAACTGAGGCCCACAGCAGTGCTATGGACTACGTATTTGTATCCACCCAAATTTCATACACTAAAGCCCTAATCCCCAATGTGATGGTATTAGGAGGTAGGACTTTGGTGAGGTGACCAGGTTTAGGTGAGGTCAGGAGGGTGGAGCCCCCATGATGGGATTAGCACCCTGGTGAGGCGATGAAGGACCAGAACTCCTCTTCTCTGCCTGGTGAGGATGCAGCAAAGGCAGCTGTCTGATCCTGCAGGAGAGCTCCCACCAAGAACCCAACCATGCTGGCTCCCTGCGCTCGGACTTCCTGCCTCCAGAACTTCGAGAAACAAGTGTCCTTTGAGCCACCAGGTCTCTGTTATAGCAGCTCAAGCTAACTAAGACAAGAGAAAAGGGTTTTTTCTCAAGGCCGAAGATGGAGGTAGTGCAAGATCCAGGGTGGAGGGTGTGCAGCAGCGCACTGCAGGCCCCCTCCAGTGATTTACCTGGGAGAACCCTGATGGTCTTTCCAGTAGCTCCAGGGCTGTCCCGTGGAAAGGGACAAGAGCCTGTGAAGCTCCAGGGGCAGCCCATGACCTTGCTGGCATGACCGGGCCTGGCCTGTATTGGAGAAGGCTGCCTCAGGAGGCAGTGGGTCAGCACCACTGAGAAGGTTCTGTCCAACTCCAGGGGGGCTCTAAGCTTTTGTCTACTGAGCTGAGATTCCGCAGGGAGGATGGGACAGGGTGCACGCAGGAGGTGGCAGGAAGTGAGGCCGGAGAAACCAGGGAAATTGGGGAAAGTGAAGCCTCCTCTGGAGATCTTTTTTTCTCTCGGTCTCTTCCTTCCCTTCCTCCTTTCCGCCCTCCTTCCCTCAGCAGCCCCATCTGAGAACCCGGAAAGGCACGTACCAGGATGTCCAAGCAGGCGGCCTTCAGCAGGGTGATCTGGTCTGCAATGGTCAAGCCGGTGAAGCCTGGCAGACGTTTTGCAAACTCCACGATTTTAATAATGCACTTAGTGGCCAGTTCGCTGAATTTGTCCCAGAGTCCCAGGTCCAGTCGGACTCGATGGTCGGCACTGGAATTCTAGGAGGGAGAGAAAACGCCATCAGGTGTATGTATGTAGTTTTGGGGAAGCCCCACGGTAGTATGTATGTGGGGAACTCAACATGTTTTCTATTAATGGGCTGACACTTTAGCCTTGACTGGGGCGCCACGTGGTGGGGTGGCTGAGTTTTTAGCCAGATTCATCTTTTTAAAATGCTCAAAATCTTATGGCTCTACCATTGCACCATTAAGTAACAGAAGAGGGGGAGTTTCGCTGTATGCAGTTGTCCAGGCAATAAATGAAGAAGGAATGAGAGAACGAGGAGTCACCATTGTGTAACCCTGATGAATTACTGGCCATCCAGTGGTTGCTGATATCTTATACCTGATCTCAGTCAAAAGGCCAAGCAGCAACAAGGCTGCCACTATCTTAAAACAGGCAACCTGTCATGCTGGTGTCCCGAATAGAAAAACCCACCACCAGCTATGAAATAGTCTGGCCAAAAATCAAACTTGAATCAGATTGAGCCTCTAGATTTCACTGCAGGAAATACAGGAACACAGTAAACTACACCATGGGGATGCAATTGTCAACATCCTCATTGCCAGAAATCCTATAAAACCAATGAACTGGTTTCTTCAACACATTCACTGCAAGGGGGAAAAAGAAATTGGGAGAGAAACCCAAAGATTAAAAGCAGCTCGACCCAAATGCTCATTAACTGGTGAATGGATAAATAAATTGTGATTACAACCACACGATGAAAATGCTAGGTAGCATTAACAAGGAAGGAAACAGTGGCACGTGCTACAACAGGCTGAATGTCAAAAGCATTACACTAAATGAAAGAAGGCAGACATAAAAGCCTACACACAAAATGCTTCCGCTTATATGCCATTCTAGAAAAAGCAAAACTATAGCGATAAACAATTCAGTGGTCTTCCAGGGGCAGGGTGGGGAGGAGATTGACCACAAGGGGCACCAGGGAACTCTTTGGAGTGAGGGAAAGATTCTACACCTTGGCTGGGGTTATGTTACTTGACTGCATACTTCTGTCACACTCATCAATCTATACCTTTAAAAAAGGTAAATTATGTAAATTAATCTCTAATAATCTTGACTCTAAAAAAAATACTTAGGAGACGTATCAACCAATTGCAAAGTATAAACCTTATCCGAATTATGATTCAAGCAAATAAACTGTAAAGAGATCGAGACGTACGTGATAAAACTAGAAATTTGAGATACTAAGGTGTTGGAGATATTAATTTTATATTAGGACAATAGTAATGCCATTGCCATTTTGCTTTTATTAGTAGAGGTTGCTATCATCTAGAACACATATTAAAATATTTACAGATAAAATAATGAGATATTTGTAACGTGCCGTCCAAGGAGAGGCGAAGCTCCCCACGCCTGGCGTTTGGCCCTCTGGCAAATGTAAACGGCTCAGTAAAGGTACTCTGAGTCTCAAACTGATAACTTTTCATTCCCCGCCTCAATTAAAATCAGTCCGCAGAAGGCGATAAAACGGGCTCTTGCTTTTAACGCGGGCAGGAAAAACCCAGAAGGAAGAGTTTGCGTGCAATGCCACGGAAGCTGTAAGAACGGTGGCAGCCGGCGCGGCCTTCCGCAGCATTCCTTGCAGAGAGCAGGCATGCATCCTCCAGATTTATTTCATTCCTTCCTCAAGGACCTTGGTGGAATACAGTGCACTCGGGGGAGCATAAGATCAAGATGTGTGGCCATTCGGGCTGTAATTAAATTTAATAGGCAGTTTATCCGGTTGGTAGGAAGATGACACTGAAGAGAGGGACAGAGAGGCAAGCTTACGGTGGGAAATCATCTTACAATAGAGTATCCATCTGGAAAAAAAGACATTGCCCCGACCCAGCAAGTGTGAACGAAATCTTCATCAACATCGGATGAGGTTACTTTATCACGCGCCGGGGCTCAGAGAGAGGAGCCTGTCGCACCTTCTATTAAAAATAATGCACAGCTGTCTTAACGGCATGTAAATCTAACTCACTATTATGCAAACTGAAGGGAAGAGGCAGTTAATAAAACACAAAATAACCCGGTGTTTTATTATACTGGTTGCTGGATTCATAGGCACGAGGCTTAAAATGGCTTATATATTATCTTCCAGCTGCGCAAATGGAGAGCCCGGCCTGTTTGGGTTGGTAATGAAGGCGGGTGCAGCGAGCGCCCGGGAGGTGCTGGCTTTCAGCAGCGTTTCTGAGTGTGCAGGGAGGAAAACCGGGGAGGAGGGAGAGAGAGGAGGATGGGGAGGAAACAGCCAGCGCAGAAGGGGAAGGGGCTCTCCTCTTCCACCCCTGCGCATGGGAGCTGGCCTGGGAGCTGCAGCAGCCTCCCAGGACAGCAGGGCAGCGGGCCCCCTGCAGGAGCCCACGGCCCCTAGGGCCATCTTAAACAGCAGAAAAGCCCAACCCCACTATGAAATCCAATTAAATGGCAATTTTTGCCATGCAAATGGATCCCTTTCTTTCTGCTGGTTTGGTTCTCTGGGGCAATGTGCTCTTTTCTCAGTGGCGTTACTTTTGGAACAAGACCCATAAACCAAGGTGGAAACACCGGTGTCTTTAAAACCCCATTTGTGGCGGCTCCTGGGCGCTCCGGTGGTTTCAGTGGTTTATTCAGGGCTGCTTGCTAGTTTTGTTTTTTAGCTAAGGAGGATATGTAAGTTTCCACTGAAAAAATAAAGAGTCACATGCTGTGGGAATGTTGTGCTCATCCATGAGGGCGACCATCCTGAGAGACTGATGTCCTTCCAGGTCCTGTTTGCAGAATGTTCTAGTCATCCACGTTCCATTCCTCCAGTTTGTGTGTTTTTGTCCGTAACTATCGCTTACCTAGGGCTTGCCTCGTGCCAGGCGCTGTTCTAAGTCTTTACGATTCTTACCTTGCTTTACTGCTCACAACACCCCTAGGAGGTAGGCCCCATTATGGTCCCATGTGGCTGACGAGAGAGGGCTGAGGCCCAGAGGAGCGCAGTCACTCGTGCAAGATCCCCGGGGTAAGCAGAGGGGACTGGATTCACCCAGGCAGTCGGGAAGAAGCACCCAGGCTCCCCACCACTTTATCCCGTCACCCCTCTCACTCTTGGTTCCTCACGTATTCTGCTTCCTGGTTAGAACTTCCTGTGTCCTCAAGCCTCTTAGTGCCTCTGTGATGTCCCTCCTGGCTGGAAACTCCCTCCTGGCTTCTAGGAGGTAGTTACAAGATCTCTAGCCCTGCTATGAAGAGAACGTTATGTGCCAGGCCAACATCTCTTTGTGGTCAACAGACACATATGAGGCACTATGACAATGTGGCTTCTGGAATGTACCAGCTAGGGCATGTCCACCTATGGGAGGACAAGGTCCCCAATACACTTGCAGCATTTTTCTCAGAAGTGGACACCTCCATCAGGTGGGGAGAAGGCAGTTGGCAGCCACTCTGTAACTCTGGGTGGAAAAGTGGGCATGGTCTTAAAGGTATGGTGTAGCCCATGGTGCAAGCCAGCGATAATGTGGAGGAGCGCATAAGGGGGGTCTCTAAGGACCTCTGAGTGTTTCCTAGCAGTCTGCCTAAAAGCAAGGGTGATGCTGCTGCAGGATTCCCCTGAAGATAATGTGTCAGGGGTGCTCCCGGACCACCAATGTCTAAGGTTCCTCAGCTGGGACGTGAGCCCGGAGGGCTCCTCTGCACAGCTGTGCTCCTGCCCGCCTGGGGCTCAGAGATCTGGGGCCTCTGCGGAGTGCAGGGTAGGGTGGAGGATATAGACCAAGGCCCTCTAGAGGATGTCCAAGAAATGCTAGAAATTCTGGAGTGGTCCCAGCTGCTGGGAGGGGCACGGTGGCTTCTGGAACTCCAGGGGCATGTCTAAGAAAGATCAGAAGCTCTGCCCTGTGCACCTGGGTGCCACCTTCTTGGACCTGTTTTTCCTCCTGGCTAGAAACTTCCCTTGGCTAACACCTACATACCTTATTCCAGCACACAAAGCCCCCAGCAAGCAGGCCTTAACCGACCTCCTGAGACTTAGCTGCTCTCTAGCCCTTTCCCTGCAAACTAGAGAAAATGGCTGTGTTCAGCCATTCCCTTTGCCAGGAATGTCTTTTCTTTTTCCACCACCCAGCAAGATCTGGGCACTCAGCACAGTGCCTAGAGTGCATTTTTCTTCAAAAGGTGAGGACTTATGTGTGCTGTTCCTAAATGCTCACAACACTTGTGACAAGACAGGATTTTCAGCCAGCCTTTGCAACAGAGCTGCAAGCGTGGAAAGGTAACACCCGTGCACGCCAATTCCGCACTCAGCAGGTGTTATGGGTGGAATTGTGTCTCCCCAAAGGATGTGTTGAAATCCAAACCGCAGTATGTTAGAGTGTGACCTTAGGAAACAGGGTCTTTCCAGAGGTAATCAAGTTAAGATTAGGGTGGGCCCTAATCCAATGTGACCGGGGCACTTATAAGAAGGAAAAAAATAGGCAGAGGCTGACAGGCACAGAGCAAGGATGATGTGAAGACACACGGCGAGAAGACGGGCACGTGAAGACGGAGGATGGGTGCGATGCAGCTACAAGCCAAAGAACACCGAAGATTGCTGGTAAATCAGCTACGATCAGAAGAGGCAAGGAAGGACACTCCCCTAGAGCCGTCAGGTGGAGTATGGCCCTGTTCACACCTGACTGTGGACTTCTAGCCTCCAGGGCCATAAGAGAACAGATCAATGTCATCTCAGCCCACCGGGTTTGTACCTCTGCGTTCCAGCATCTCTGGGAAACTCCCACTGTGGGCACACAGCACACGCGCGCTGCAGAATGGAAGGGTGGTCTGGGTGACCCGGGAAGGACATGTGTGCTTACTGGCAAGAAACTGAGGCTCACAAGGTAAGTGATGGCTCAAGGTGAGACAGCTGAGAGGTGACAGAGATTGGAACTCAGGTCCCATGACTACCCACTGAGCTTCCACCCCTCCTGATGCGTCTCTCCTGGGGGTCCAGCCTCCCTGAGTTTCAGGTTCTGACTTCCCCTTGGCT